ACCAGAGGGATGCATTCGCTCTGTTCCTCAGGTCACAGAGGACAAGGATGCTGGGAGGGTTTAAAGGACCGTAATGGGGAGGATCAGTGTTATTTTGGAGCTGGGAATAGCAGTCTTGGGCCAAAGACACAGCTGACTCATTGGTAATCACTGGGGACAAAATTTGGGAATGGTTCGTGAAAGGAGTTAAAGTTTTCAGAGCTGTGTGTCAAACGGGAGTTATTTCTGAGAAGTTACCTAAGATTTAAGTTGGTTAAAGTGTGCTTGGTTGCACCCAAATACCAGAAACCTTTGGAAAGGAGAGTAAGGTACATTATGGAGAAGGGCTAGATTAAGTCTGGCATTACTCAAATGCAAAGACGAAGGTTGAGAATGCAGTGGGGCATAAATACTTGAGGTGTGGTGCACAACCTGTGGTCTCATTAAGAATCCCTCCTGCTGGTGTGTGGCCCCTCACATTTCTACAATAAACCTGTAATATAATGGGGGTTTTTTAATTGTTAGTTGTTTCTGTAAGTCACCGACTTCACTTTTGGTATGTGGCCCTGTATGCTAGATGTTGCTGGTTACTGGACTGCTATTCAAGCTGATATTAGATCAGGCCAGCTGACTATGTTTTACAGGTTCATAATGCAGTTCAGCTGCTGTTTGACAGGCTCGTGAAGCAGTAAAGGCGTCTTTCTGGTTGCTTATAAATGATGTAGTAGCATTTCACTTCTTAAAAATGTCTGCCTAACTGGACCAAGAACAGCTCTGTGTTCTTAGGAAAGTAATGATTTTGCATCAAGAACAAGTTTTAGTATTCAGCATTTGACTGTTAGTTACCATCTTTTTCACTACAAAATTTCTATACTTGAGAAAAATGTCACATATGTTGTGAAGTCACTAATGCTCCTCTGTGCTGCCAACAGATGTTGATGAATGCACATCAAACCCATGCTCTAATGGAGACTGTATCAACACACCTGGTTCCTATTACTGCAGGTGCCACACAGATTTCCAGAGAACTCCTACCAAGCAAGCTTGCATTGGTAGAAAAATTTGCTTCACATCTACTGACACTGCAGATGTTCTGACCCCTTATGACAGATCCCATTGGAGTTCAACAATAGTTAGCAATGTAATTTCAGTAAATCCCAGCAGTTGCTATATTAATTTGGGCTCTAGTTCTGGGCTACCATTCCATTTGTTCTGTTGTTGTCTTTTAACTTTTATCCATTATTCTGGAATATCTGTCACTTACAGAGTGTCGCTGACAGAGTTCTACAAAAAAGTCAGGAAATAGACTATTAGTACTACAGGTATATATTTATGTATGTACACAGATGAATGTGTGAGTAGGTTTTTAAAGAGATATTCATAAAGTAATTGCTGAACATCACAAAATGGGGCATTTATTGTACAAGTTTGTAAAATAATATTTTTCCTATCTCTGATGCAGTGGGAATACATTCTTAACCATATTTGAAAAACTTTTGTCTAAGTAATATTTAAATAACATGTCAGTATTTTTCAAAGCAATAATTGACACTATATACATTTTTACCTTACAGTAACTCCCTGATTGTGTGATAATTTTTTTCCTTAGATATCGATGAGTGTATCCAGAATGGGGTTCTTTGTAAAAATGGACGATGTGTAAACACTGACGGAAGTTTCCAGTGTATTTGCAACGCTGGGTTTGAGCTGACTACAGATAGAAAAAATTGTGTGGGTAAGAACTATTCTAAATAATGGATCAGGCATTCACTTGGTGATTCTAGAAATTGTACTTCATACTACAATTACGGATCATCAAGGATTACCTTTTTTGAAATAGGGTACAACCTGAGGTTCACTTGCATTCAGATAGTTATTGTACAGAACTGCATGATTTTAGAGAAAACTTGAGGTAATTTTTGGTGTTGAAGCTACATCTCTCCTCAAGGGTCTTGCATAATTCAGTACCAGGAAAAACATTTTCCCCTAAAGCTTCACAGCAAGTGCTCCATGTATCAGCACTGCTGAAGAAAGAACAGTTTATATTTTTGACTATACTGTGTCAAAAAAACCCTTCTAGATAAACAACTAGGTCTTATTTCTGTAAGGTGATTGAAGCTTTTTATCCTTTGACGTAAGAAAGGCACACCCTGTTCTTCCGTACACTGACTGATGAAACACACAAAGTAACTGATCACAATGGGAAAAAAACCTATCTTCTTTGTCTACAGAGTAAAAACTCTTCAGATAATTCATCAGAGTTATTATTAGAATTTAATCTTCAAGTGAAGGAATATGTCACATCAGTCCTGATAATTTATTTTTGCTGTATCATCTTCTGGAAGGTGAGGAACTATAAGCAGTTTTCTTTGTAATATTTTGCAGACCATGATGAGTGTACCACTACAAACATGTGTTTAAATGGGATGTGCATAAATGAAGATGGGAGTTTTAAATGCATCTGCAAACCAGGATTTGTTCTGGCTCCAAATGGGCGTTACTGTACTGGTATGTGGAACTGAGGGGTAACCCATTAAGACAATCTTGATTGAAAATGTCTTTCCCTGTCCCCATTCATTCATGCAAGAATAGAAATCCTGTCACATGGATTTAACATCATACTAATATCTTCCTAACTCTTTACGGTAGATTTCATAAACTGCCTAGAATAGAAATAGGTCTGTGACTTACAGAAACACCTAACAATTATTTAACAGTATTGTAAAGCTACAACAGATTATAAATTAGCTTTTGAAAAGTCTGGGAGCATTGTAAATGTAGCAAAATCTGCAGGCCCTTCATGAAATGATAAAGTGAGCAGCAATATGGGAAGCTGAAAAGGTTTAAAAGATTTTACATTGATGAGCACATATGTTTTCTACATTATTCTGACAATTCAGAGTGCTTAACACTTAAGACATCATATTTGCCACATATCATTACAGACTTTTTAAAGTGAGGTTGTTGAAAACTTACATTAAACATTTTAAGAATAGGCTGATTTAGCTTCGGTTTAAGTAAGCTAATGGAAGATGCCTGTTGCTGCCAGTAGAATTAGGTCTGGGTGTGAGTAATTTCTAGTAAGTGCAAAATCATCTAAATTATTAGTTTTCTGATTTGAAGTTGAACCGTTTTTATTAATTGCAGTTTTCTTAATGTATATGTGGTGGGCTGTTGATTTAGATAGAAATGGATGACCACTGAGAGGTTTTTGAAATTAAAATGTACTGTCATATGGATATTCTGTGGTTAGTGCTTCCTTAACTACTCTTTAAAACAAGGTTATAGTATCATGGGATGGACAAAGGGAAAAAAATTTCATTAATTTTGCTTACTGTAGAATCTGAAGGGCCTCTAATCCTATGGTTTTTCTCATTTTTAGGTTTTGGGTTTTTTTTAATGTGCAGATGGAATTTTGGTTATTTAGTGTAATTCCAAGGTGAGATTTTTATTAGAAATGAAACAAGGATTTGTTGATGATTTAGCTGCTATCATAAAATAATTTGGTAATGTTCTAAAAATGCTAATTGTAATCCTGCTTAAAAACAGCAAAAAGACTGTTGAATTGTGTTGCCTCCTGATAGATACTGATGAATGTCAGACATCAGGAATTTGCATGAATGGTCATTGCATAAATACTGAAGGATCCTTTCGGTGTGAGTGTCCACCTGGCTTGGCTGTTGGAGTTGATGGTCGTGTGTGTGTAGGTAAGTGAGATTGAAAAGTGGAATTATCAGGTTGTCAGTTTAAAAAAATGCATCAAATTACATCCTTCTACGTAGTGTTGACATCAGACCACAGAGGATCTGTTCTAGGATAAATCTGGAGTATTTGTCTTTTGTTCTGCTATGCATTTGTGTTCATGTATGTACATGTATAGATATCTATATGCATATTCATATTTCTATTCAGTTGTGCATCAGCCACTCCGAATCACTAAAACAGGTACATATATTGGTTGCGACACTGATAGTTTTGCACTCCCCTTTCATTTTTTTCTCTAGTCTGAAAACATTTTATTCACCTTGTACCATAGTGTTTAAAAAAAAAAAAGGTCTAAGCTCTAGTAGGGGAAGTAATGAAGACTAGATAGACTTGTTTCTATGAACTCAAATACCATTATTAAGAATTATTAGGAAATTTTGCATTATTCTATCCCATAAACTTAAAGACAAGAAGCTTAAATTCCTCTGTGGAATTGGAGTGGTACCACCTCTTGTTTACCTATTATTCCTATAAATTAAACTTACAGTATGTACTCTTCCTAGCATCCCTTTTTGTTTTTGAGGCATACCCTTTCTAGTCTGCTGATGAATAATCTTTTGTCATATAATCTGAACTACCACCTCTTGTCCCCACAAATGTTACTGGCTGACAGTTAAGAGATTCTTCACCCAGCTCCACCAGGAGCTCTAGCATAGCATCAGGGAGCTCATCGGAGAAGAATGGAGCATTTTCAACCTGATGAAGGATAAAAAAGGGTAGAGGGAGAGAGGTATTCAGTCCCTTGTTTTCTGCTGATTGCTGATAAAGCGGGGAGGGGAATAGACATTTTACAGAAATTTCTCACAGCGGTGGGACTACATGCACTAGGGACTGCGATACTGCCTAGTTCCTTAAACAAATTTAATCTGCAGGAGATACCATCTTTCCCTTCTTCTGCATATCAGACATCAGTTCTGTATCCCCTAAGTTTCTTCTCTCCTAGCTCATGAATGTATCTATCACCAAACATATTGGTGACCCAAGGCTCAGTTAAGTGGATACATATGGCATTAAGCTTCACCAGGCAAATATGCCTTGAATGGGGCCTTCCTGGTTGAAAAGTGCACCTCTGGCAGCATCACAACACGTTAACTTCACTTTTGGTATGTGGCCCTGTATG